CCAAATTAAAATAAATAAAGTAAAATAAAATAATTCTTAAAAAAGAAGAAAAGATTAGCTATGTTCCTACTGACTCACATAAAGTTTCAGGAACTTTTACAATCCTAAGTTTCCTAAAGAGCAGGGAATTCCCACTTGCCTTGACACAACCTTCAATGATAAACCTAAAATCTAAATTCATTAAATGAACTCAATTTTTTTTATGGATCTTCACCTGGGAATTTCTTCCTTTGAACCAAAATGCTAGTAAAATTTCATTAACTTGGGACCAGCAGTTAGTGTATGGCTATGTTGCTGAACTCCCATGTAGTCGACCGCGGTTCGAGTCCCGGACCCAGTGGCTTAAACTCACCCTGGGTACGTGTGCATGCGTACCCAAGATCCCAAGAGGAGAATGGAGGAGAAGGGATTGCAGCGTGGCCATCCCCCCTGGCGGGGGGGGGGGGGGGGAGGGGGGGGGGCTCGGTCTGTCTGGTGAGGGCATGCTCCCTAGATGCTTCTTGCTTTTTATATCTCTCTGTCTCTCTCTGTCTTTCTGGTGAGCACACACACCCTATAGCAAAAACCTCTCCAAAAAAAACAAAACAAAAAAATTTTGTTAACTAATACCAAAATGAAAATTCCAAATGATAGATCTGTTTTCCTTGGCCTAGGGCTTCCTGAGTCTGTTTCATAAAAAATTCAGTTACTTTAATTTCACTTACAATCTTAAAAATCTCCACCAATCCAGGCAGGAAAATCAGCTCCTATAAGTGCCCCTACCCCTCACAACCTGGTCCTTGTAATCTATCATTATGCCATCCTATCCACCCTCGCCCCAGCCCCTCACATTTGATCTGTCTACTTTCTGTTTCTCCAATATGCAGATCCAGCTCCTACTCCGGCCATCACACAGTCTGGAAACATTCATTCTCACATCTTTGGACAGCTGCTTCCTTTTCATTATTTAGGTGCCGACTCAATGTCATCCCATCAGCTGTTATGCTAAGAGCCAAAAAAGCTCCTTCTCATTTATTCTTTGCAGTACTTTCCACTATCAGAATCACTTGCATTTTTTTTTTTATTGAATCAAAACACTCCTGTATTTCAAAACATCTTTTTAGACAACAGGTTAAAAAGATAAATTTTAAAATTCTTTCCACCAACCAATGATATAAAATAGCAGTAAGTGTCAAATACTTACAACATGTTAGGATTGGTGCTAAATGTTTTACATGCACCATCACATTTAAATTTCATGAAATCCTATAAAATAGTATCTCATTTTAGAAATGGGAAAATTAAAGCACACAAGAGATAAATTGTTCAGTGTCATAAAATTAGTTTCAAAGCGAAAGTTATTGTGGGAGTCAGGATGTGACTAACTAAAAAGCTAAGATTTCTACCACTATTTCATCATGTCCTTTTCCTGACTTTGTTTTAAAGTTACTATACTCTAGTTATACAATCATAATGTTCAAAACATAAAATCTGGTGACTTCGGTCACTTCGAGCACATTTCATACTTACTCTTTTCACATTGTGACCACCACCAAGGGAACCAAGAGCTTCAGATCTTTGGGCAAAGAACTCTCCTAAAGACAGACGCAAATAACTGGCATCATCTTTATCCAAATCTGATGTGCTAAGTGATTTCCTCAACAGATTGTAATTAAATGAAGCTCCCCAAGACGTATCCCCTATTGCAACTGAAGTGTTCTGAGCATCTATGTTTTCTTCCTAGGAAGAAAGGTATTGTTTCATTTTTTCAAATATATCAAGTCCTCTTTCTGTTCTTCTTATACATGAAACTAAAAGATTTAGGAAAATCTAAAATTTACTTTTTTAAAAATTGGACAAAAAAAATGTGGACTAATTCAAGCTTAAGCAGCTACTAAAGAAGTCAAGTCCAAAAGAAAAGAAACTCATTTTTGAATACTTAGGGCCATGCAGGAAGGTCCTAGGGGCGCATTCTAAAGTCTCCTTATGCATGTTAGGTCTGTATCTATGCCCATGATCCTGATTGGTTGAGTTGGGGTGAAATAGCAGCCTGAAGACCTTGTTGGGGGTGCCTGTCTCTTTCTCTCTGTCTTCCTCTCTCATGAGAGAAATAAATAAAATTAACAAAAACAAGATTTCTTCATTTTAAAAAAATATTTATTTAATTTTAGTTATCATTATTATTATTTTTAATTTAATCTTTTAGAGAGAGATTTTTGCTATGGGGGACATGCAGTTGACCGAGAAAGAAAGTGAGAAATCACCCCCCAGGAGAGATGGCCACACCACGCCACAATTCCTTCTCCTCCATTCTGCTCTTGGGATTTTGGGCACACACGCACACACACCAGGCATGAGTCTTAAGCCGCTGGGAGTGGAACTCAAACCATGGTCAACCACATGAGAGTCCAGCAACATAACCATTACGCCATCTGAGGGTCTCTTATTTTTGAATTTTCCACAGGGCACATATGCTTACTAGAGAGAGAAAGACGAAGAGAGGGAATGCAAGCCCCCAGGTCTAGGACTTGAACTGTGGTCAATCGTGTAGGAGTCTAGCACCTCAGCTACCATGCTACCTGCTATTGCCCCAGATTTCTTCATTTTTTAAAATATTTTAAAAATTAAAAGTACCCAGGGCCAGCAGGTGGCTTGGTACTTAGTCCAGTTGGCACTGGACTCCCACACAGCAGAATGTGGTTTGAATCCCACAACTGGTGGCTTGCTTTCTCACTTTCTCTTCTCTTTCTCTCCCTGTCTCTGGTCTAAAAATAATAATAATAATAATAATAATAATTGAAGGTAAACAAAATAAGTCTTAAAAAAAACCTAAAAGTACCCATGAATGCTAATAAAGCAATTTTAAGTAAACTGATACATTTCAGCATGTCAATATTAGTAATTTAGCATGTCAATATTAATTTCAGCATGTCAATATTAATAATTTAGAATATGAGGAAAAAGGCAAGTTGTCTAAATCCAGAATACTTTTCTTAGATTTAGATAACTTAAGAAACTAAACCTAGGAAAAAGTCAGTTGTCCAAATCTAAAATATTTTTCTTAGGTAAAGTTCTCTAAAACTAAAAAAAATAATAATTCTGTAGTAGCTATATGTCTAATCAGAAGGAAGTGACCATTTTACCTATATTTACATAAATACATGAAAAATTTTAAACTTTGGTTAAACCAAATAATTACAAACCTGTATGAATCGATGTTCTTTATTAAATTCTTCTTCATCTTGTGCAATCAAATCCAATGCTTCAGCTTAAAAAAGAATAAGTTTATGCAATTATATTATATTAATGCCTAAGTAAACACTAGCACAGAAATACATCTTCCTGGTTTAGAAAATTAAAATGCAGGGAAATCAGTTTTAGAAGTATGGAAGGGTCAGCTGGTGGTATAATGATCCACCTGGATCCCACATGGTCAAATGCGTGTTATCACTTACCAACTTACCTTAATTTACTAAAGGAGCTTTATAACCTAAATGTTTTAATTAAATTAATTTTAGTTAAGAGCTTGGCACAACTGAGTTTAGCTACACAACTTTAAGGACCTCTGGAATTTCATTTGGAACCATCAGGCTGAGAAGTCCCTTTAAGCTCATCACAAAGATGTGTTTTAGGGTGACCAAGCACTTGTTTGTCCAGAAATACTCAAGTGTGAGAAAGTCTCATGTCCCAGGAAAGCTCAGTCTGGGGAAACAGGGACAGAAGCCTGCCATCCAAGTTCCTACTGGGTGGCCTAGCCATCGTAGTACATGCTACCAGAAACTGCTCTGCAGGCTGGGACAGGGGAGGCTGGTTCAACTTCCAGCCTGGGTGGGTACAGTGGCTTGTGCCTACAATCCCTGTGACACAGATCAAGATCATGAACGAGGCTGGCCCAGGCCACACAGCAAGACACTGTTTTAAAGAGCTGGGTGTAGTGGTGTGCCTGTGGTTTAGTTGCTCAGGAAGCTAAGGCAGAAGGATCTGAGCAGGGAACAGAAAGGTAACCTACCCACATACTTTCATACCTAGGCCTGAAGCCACAAACTGAAATGCCTGGAAGGCTAGAGGTAAATAAGAGATGAGGGCCAGGTACAACACAAGAGGGAGTGGCTGGATAGGCAAACTAGGACCTGTTTAAGGTATCAGAATTACAAAGAATTTGAAACATGTTGGCTAAAGCAAGTCTTTAGGCTAGACTCTGGACTGCCCATCTGAGGTCCACTCTAGGCCTCTGCCCAGTACTGTGGAAAGGGGAAGAATGAAGGACAACCCAGAAGGGACAATCTACTTATGGCCCCAACAACAGATGTTCCCAACTCTCAAGTACCCATCAGGGACTAAACAGATCCAAACTACCCTTTTGGAAACCCAGAGAATCTCACCTACGTAATCTGAGATGAAAAGAATGCACACAGGGAAGTAATTCTAAGTCAGGAAAAGTACAGCACGAAAGACAGCTCAGGATCTTGTCAGAACAGTGCTAGCTCTTTACCTTGTGAAATGATCACTAATATAAACACATTGCTAACGCATTACATTCCACATACACGTTTCTCTGTGGAATCTATGACTCAGAAAAAGTTAAAAAGCATTGCCCTAAAATGTGAGAGCAACCACCAACCAAATCTAACAGCCAAGAGAGTGGAAGTAGGAAATTCAGTTTATTTCCAAGAGTTAAATATCAGAGCTTGCAGTTGGCATAGTGGTTAAAGCACCTGGACTCCCACATTGCTGACCACAGTTCAAGTCCCAGACCTGGTAGGCAGAAATTCATGCCAGCACATGTGCATGCATGCCCAAAATCCCAGGAGGAGAATAGAGGAGAAGGGATTGCAGTACAGACCACCCCAGGGAGTGATTTCGCACTGTCTCTATCTCTCTCTGGGTAGAGCATGCACTCTATGGCAAAAACCTAAAATAAAAATTAAAAAAAAAAAAAAAGGTTAAATGCCACATGGCTTTTAAATCATTGGATAGATAGCTAAAGACACTATTTGTTATACTAAGTACTTTTCCCCTGATCTTCAAGGGACTTTTCAGTTAAAAAAAAAAAAATCTACACAGGACCAGCAGATGGCATACTGGTTATGTCACTGGACTCCCACAGTCGACCACAATTTGAGTTGGAGACCTGGCAGCTTAGAACTTACAGTGGGTGTGTGTGTATGTGTGCCCAAAATCCCAAGAGGAGAATGAAGAAGGCAATGTGGTATGGCCACCTCCCCTCCCCGTAGGGGGTGATTGCTTGCTTTCTGTCTCTGTCTATCTCTGTCTTTCTAGTGTGAGCACATGCCCTATAGTGAAAACCTCTCCAAAAAAACAAAGAGAAAGAAAGCAGAACTTCAATTTTTTTTTTTTTTTAACAAGCCTCTACTCAGGGCTAGCAGTGGCATGGTGGTTAATGGGGTTGGACTCCCATATGGCCAACCGCAATTCAAGTCCTATACTTGGTGGCTTGCTTTCTCACTTTCCCTTCCTCTCTCTCTGTCTACTCCCACTGGAAAATAGTTAAATAATTCTTAAAAAAAAATCTACATGCAATTCTTTTTTTTTTTTTTTTTTTTGAGGTTTTTGCTATAGGGTGGTGGCCCTCACCCGAGACAGGAAAGA